ATCTAACCTAAACTTCCCCTGTTTAAGCTTGAACCCATTAACCCTTGTCCTACCACTACAGTCCCTAACGAAGAGTCCCTCCCCGGCATCCTTATAAGCCCCCTTCAGATACTGGAAGGCTGCTATGAGGTCTCCACGCAGCTTCTCTTCTCCAGGCTGATCAGCCCCAGCTTTCTCAGCCTGTCTTCATAAGGGAGATGCTCCAGCCCCTTATCATCCTTGTGGCCTCCTCTGGACTTGCTCCAACAGCTCCTTGTCCTTTTTATGTTAAGGACACCAGAACTGTACACAATACTCCAAGTGAGGTCTCATGAGAGGATGATATTCAGTGAAGGACGAGGGAACAGAGGAGAACAGTGGGCTTGTCTACACTTACAAAATTGCTGCAGGAAAATGCAGTGACAATAATAATTTCACCTCAGTCCCAACCTTCTGTCACAGACTTCCTGGTAATGCAGCTATCACGCTTCAACGACTCTGCAAAACAATTGGCTTGTTCAGGTGTAGAAATAAGACCATCCAGACTGAACTGCTCTGACTAGCAGAAATGTAGCTACCTTGGCCCTTAGGTACTGCATTCTAAGCAGTGGATCCTTGCTTTAAGACAATATAAGCTGTTTCCACGCAATGCTCTATATGATATCAATGATCTTGTCTTACATGCATGCACAGTACAAAACTGGAACAAAGACTTAACCGAATGCTGAAATAATGGTGTTAGTGGTACCCCTTCCCCTGCTCTGTCTCAGTGATTCTTTGGCACTATTACATCTGACAACATAAAACATGCTATTTCAATCACAGCAGTAATTTCTTTGGCCTATATTGACCACGTACTGCCTATAAAAACACTGGAATTTGAAGTTTGCACGGAGAACAGCCATGAACCATTATTATTTTTTTTTTTACTTACAAAGCTATATTTACTGACAAAAAGACTGCAGATATAATTTAAATTCACAATTTATTGACAGAACTGCAGAGGATAAACGCTCACAGGGGCACAGCACAACATATGAAAACAGTGGCAGAGTTAAACAGCCTGTGTGAAGCAAAGGATGCTTCAGAGAACATGAGCTAATGCGGAAACAATGCTATTTATTGCAGAACACCATTTGGTAACTTGGGGGGTTTCTAGAGCTGTGTTATCTTGGTGTCCAGACATTTGGTGTTGCAGACCGAGTTCCACTGCAGGAATAACAGCACAGGCACAGGGCAGCAAACCCCAGCATAGCACGGGCATGGATCTACCTGACAGAGCAGAGGAACATCACACTATCTCCTTTGTGATCCTGAATATACAGAACCAGAATTAAGAGGTAAGTTTTCATTCTACAGAATCCTTTTTCAGGATATATTAATATGCTTCCATAGTAATATGCCAGTTCCTAAATCTCCTTCCTAAAATGAGTTTCTCAGCCAAAATTTGACATCTGAAATGTCCCTTCACTTCATAAAGACCTTTGAGATCTCAAATGTAATTGAAATTAGTCAAACAAGTAAAACTCCTAACTAAATGTTCTATTGCAGACTGTTTTTCCCTGGGAAAATGTAGATCTGCCGTCTTTTTATGTTATTTGGCAGGAAATAACATACCCTGGTGTATTAGAAGATATAACAAAAAAGCAAGAAATGTATTTTAGAGGATTTCTACTATAGGCCACCCATACATTTAGTAACAAGGCATCAAACCAGCATGTAGATATCAAGACCATCCACCAATGTCAGCAGTTACTAAGATATCCAATAATGGGGGGGATATGTTTCAGTGTGTTTTGGAATGTCCCTGTTAAAGCAGTGACTATAAGGTGGAAGATGAGATTACAGCTCTGAAATAGTGGTTGGGAAATCAAAGCAATCAAGAATATGTCCTTGAAAGAGTTTTCACCAATAAAGAAACCAATGGTGAAAAAGAAATGTCCACGTTGACCCAAAACAGGTTTAGGAGAGAGAAAAAACCAACCCAGTGGCATGAACAGAAATCACAGGGTAAAAAGAATTGGTTAGAAATATACAGCATAAGCCTGGATTTTCAGGCTTGGAATTCCCAGCACTCTTATTAATTGGTAAACTGACAGATTCTATAATTTAGCAAATAACCATTTAGAAAATATCCATACCTAAAAAAATTCCTTATGATTAAGGATTTTCTTTTTCTTCTGAGGTACACCAAGTCTTGAAACAAAGGAGAAGAAGGTGTACTGATGTTGGAGTAACACTGGTTAATAGAACAGGTTGGAGTTAACCCAAGATATCCTTTGGCCTTGGCAGTGTTATGACATCTGTCAGTTATTACTTCACTGCTAAGTACAGTTTTGCCCTTTAGACAGTGCACAAAACGAAAAATGCATCCTAAAGTTATTTTTGTACTCACATTCTGACTAAACAAAAGGGTTACCCGTCCCAGCAAGTCCAAAGGTAGAACTTCAGATCTTGTTCCCCATGAACCTCACCAACAAGATGATGACACCGATGATGTTACATGATGCTAAATGGGCAACCTGTACTACAGAGTTTTCTGTGGGTGTTGTCTTCCTTCTCAGGTTAGCTGTGTTTCTGACCCATAGCACAGATTGAGCCCTCGAGTCGTGCTTCGTGCTTGCTGGCTTTGCAGTCGTCTCGGTGTGGAACATTCATTC